CGAGGTACTTGCAAGCAGTGGTTAGATGCTGTGACTCGCTATAGTTTTCATTTTGTTTTTCAGGTCCATTGTTATCCTAGATAACGCAAAAATCCACATGTACCGCGAGCAGGGCTGCCGAATATGTATTGTCATTTATTAGCGCAGATAGAGCCTCATAAATAATGCCAGGATCTTGTCATTTGTATCTGCATAAATTATGTAATGTATTCGAGCAATAAATAAATAATGTGGTGCAACTTCAACGGGGTATTAGACGTACTGTTACTCACACTAATTGACGCTATCGACTGTCGAAACGTCCCAGAAGTCACCATTCTCACGCAGAAACAAAATTGTTTCCAGCGTAGCGGACTGGAGACTGTTGCGCTCTTGAGCAAACGTGGTACGCGCCACGCTGAAAACCGCTCGACCTTGTTCGAGGTCGGCGGGATGCTGGAGATGAGGTCGTAGCGGGGCGTTCGCGCCTCGAGCCGGCGACGCTTCTCGAGACGCTGGACAAACGAGCCCTCTGGATCCTCGCCGCCGTCTTCCGCACCGTTCGTGAGATAGTATCATAAATTATGAGTGTGGAATAGTAATCTGGTATCATAAATAATGGTACGGTCTAAGCCACCGCTCATAAATTATGCAATAATATTTATAACAATTACTTGAGCGTCAATTTATTTTTCGGCTGCCCTGCCGGCAATAGTTAGCCTGCCGTTTACTAGAGGTGAAAGACGATCGGTCTTAGCCGCTTTTGACGTGTGCGCCTTTTCACGTGGGAGTCTACTACAGGAACCTTTGATCGTTTAGCTTTTCACGAGGCTTTCAGAACAAAAAAATGCTCCGTACATTAATCCATGGCCGCTCCCGAGGTACTTGCAAGCAGTGGTTAGATGCTGCGACTCGCTATAGTTTTCATTTTGTTGTTCAGGTCCATTGTTATCCTAGATAACGCAAAAATCCACATGTACCGCGAGCAGGGCTGCCGAATATGGTATTGTCATTTATTAGCGCAGATAGAGCCTCATAAATAATGCCAGGATCTTGTCATTTGTATCTGCATAAATTATGTAATGTATTCGAGCAATAAATAAATAATGTGGTGCAACTTCAACGGGGTATTAGACGTACTGTTACTCACACTAATTGACGCTATCGACTGTCGAAACGTCCCAGAAGTCACCATTCTCACGCAGAAACAAAATTGTTTCCAGCGTAGCGGACTGGAGACTGTTGCGCTCTTGAGCAAACGTGGTACGCGCCACGCTGAAAACCGCTCGACCTTGTTCGAGGTCGGCGGGATGCTGGAGATGAGGTCGTAGCGGGGCGTTCGCGCCTCGAGCCGGCGACGCTTCTCGAGACGCTGGAAAAACGAGCCCTCTGGATCCTCGCCGCCATCTTCCGCACCGTTCGTGAGATAGTATCATAAATTATGAGTGTGGAATAGTAATCTGGTATCATAAATAATGGTACGGTCTAAGCCACCGCTCATAAATTATGCAATAATATTTATAACAATTACTTGAGCGTCAATTTATTTTTCGGCTGCCCTGCCGGCAATAGTTAGCCTGTCGTTTACTAGAGGTGAAAGACGATCGGTCTTAGCCGCTTTTGACGTGGGCGTCTTTTTCGCGTGGGAGTCTACTACAGGAACCTTTGATCGTTTAGCTTTTCACGAGGCTTTCAGAACAAAAAATGCTCCGTACATTAATCCATGGCCGCTCCCGAGGTACTTGCAAGCAGTGGTTCGATGCTGTGACTCGCTATAGTTTTCATTTTGTTTTTCAGGTCCATTGTTATCCTAGATAACGCAAAAATCCACATGTACCGCGAGCAGGGCTGCCGAATATGGTATTTTCATTTATTAGCGCAGATAGAGCCTCATAAATAATGCCAGGATCTTGTCATTTGTATCTGCATAAATTATGTAATGTATTCGAGCAATAAATAAATAATGTGGTGCAACTTCAACGGGTATTAGACGTACTGTTACTCACACTAATTGACGCTATCGACTGTCGAAACGTCCCAGAAGTCACCATTCTCACGCAGAAACAAAATTGTTTCCAGCGTAGCGGACTGGAGACTGTTGCGCTCTTGAGCAAACGTGGTACGCGCCACGCTGAAAACCGCTCGACCTTGTTCGAGGTCGGCGGGATGCTGGAGATGAGGTCGTAGCGGGGCGTTCGCGCCTCGAGCCGGCGACGCTTCTCGAGACGCTGGACAAACGAGCCCTCTGGATTCTCGCCGCCGTCTTCCGCACCGTTCGTGAGATAGTATCATAAATTATGAGTGTGGAATAGTAATCTGGTATCATAAATAATGGTACGGTCTAAGCCACCGCTCATAAATTATGCAATAATATTTATAACAATTACTTGAGCGTCAATTTATTTTTCGGCTGCCCTGCCGGCAATAGTTAGCCTGTCGTTTACTAGAGGTGAAAGACGATCGGTCTTAGCCGCTTTTGACGTGGGCGCCTTTTTCGCGTGGGAGTCTACTACAGGAACCTTTGATCGTTTAGCTTTTCACGAGGCTTTCAGAACAAAAAATGCTCCGTACATTAATCCATGGCCGCTCCCGAGGTACTTGCAAGCAGTGGTTCGATGCTGTGACTCGCTATAGTTTTCATTTTGTTTTTCAGGTCCATTGTTATCCTAGATAACGCAAAAAATCCACATGTACCGCGAGCAGGGCTGCCGAATATGGTATTTTCATTTATTAGCGCAGATAGAGCCTCATAAATAATGCCAGGATCTTGTCATTTGTATCTGCATAAATTATGTAATGTATTCGAGCAATAAATAAATAATGTGGTGCAACTTCAACGGGTATTAGACGTACTGTTACTCACACTAATTGACGCTATCGACTGTCGAAACGTCCCAGAAGTCACCATTCTCACGCAGAAACAAAATTGTTTCCAGCGTAGCGGACTGGAGACTGTTGCGCTCTTGAGCAAACGTGGTACGCGCCACGCTGAAAACCGCTCGACCTTGTTCGAGGTCGGCGGGATGCTGGAGATGAGGTCGTAGCGGGGCGTTCGCGCCTCGAGCCGGCGACGCTTCTCGAGACGCTGGACAAACGAGCCCTCTGGATCCTCGCCGCCGTCTTCCGCACCGTTCGTGAGATAGTATCATAAATTATGAGTGTGGAATAGTAATCTGGTATCATAAATAATGGTACGGTCTAAGCCACCGCTCATAAATTATGCAATAATATTTATAACAATTACTTGAGCGTCAATTTATTTTTCGGCTGCCCTGCCGGCAATAGTTAGCCTGCCGTTTACTAGAGGTGAAAGACGATCGGTCTTAGCCGCTTTTGACGTGGGCGCCTTTTTCGCGTGGGAGTCTACTACAGGAACCTTTGATCGTTTAGCTTTTCACGAGGCTTTCAGAACAAAAAATGCTCCGTACATTAATCCATGGCCGCTCCCGAGGTACTTGCAAGCAGTGGTTCGATGCTGTGACTCGCTATAGTTTTCATTTTGTTTTTCAGGTCCATTGTTATCCTAGATAACGCAAAAAATCCACATGTACCGCGAGCAGGGCTGCCGAATATGGTATTTTCATTTATTAGCGCAGATAGAGCCTCATAAATAATGCCAGGATCTTGTCATTTGTATCTGCATAAATTATGTAATGTATTCGAGCAATAAATAAATAATGTGGTGCAACTTCAACGGGTATTAGACGTACTGTTACTCACACTAATTGACGCTATCGACTGTCGAAACGTCCCAGAAGTCACCATTCTCACGCAGAAACAAAATTGTTTCCAGCGTAGCGGACTGGAGACTGTTGCGCTCTTGAGCAAACGTGGTACGCGCCACGCTGAAAACCGCTCGACCTTGTTCGAGGTCGGCGGGATGCTGGAGATGAGGTCGTAGCGGGGCGTTCGCGCCTCGAGCCGGCGACGCTTCTCGAGACGCTGGACAAACGAGCCCTCTGGATCCTCGCCGCCGTCTTCCGCACCGTTCGTGAGATAGTATCATAAATTATGAGTGTGGAATAGTAATCTGGTATCATAAATAATGGTACGGTCTAAGCCACCGCTCATAAATTATGCAATAATATTTATAACAATTACTTGAGCGTCAATTTATTTTTTGGCTGCCCTGCCGGCAATAGTTAGCCTGTCGTTTACTAGAGGTGAAAGACGATCGGTCTTAGCCGCTTTTGACGTGGGCGCCTTTTTCGCGTGGGAGTCTACTACAGGAACCTTTGATCGTTTAGCTTTTCACGAGGCTTTCAGAACAAAAAATGCTCCGTACATTAATCCATGGCCGCTCCCGAGGTACTTGCAAGCAGTGGTTCGATGCTGTGACTCGCTATAGTTTTCATTTTGTTTTTCAGGTCCATTGTTATCCTAGATAACGCAAAAATCCACATGTACCGCGAGCAGGGCTGCCGAATATGGTATTTCCATTTATTAGCGCAGATAGAGCCTCATAAATAATGCCAGGATCTTGTCATTTGTATCTGCATAAATTATGTAATGTATTCGAGCAATAAATAAATAATGTGGTGCAACTTCAACGGGTATTAGACGTACTGTTACTCACACTAATTGACGCTATCGACTGTCGAAACGTCCCAGAAGTCACCATTCTCACGCAGAAACAAAATTGTTTCCAGCGTAGCGGACTGGAGACTGTTGCGCTCTTGAGCAAACGTGGTACGCGCCACGCTGAAAACCGCTCGACCTTGTTCGAGGTCGGCGGGATGCTGGAGATGAGGTCGTAGCGGGGCGTTCGCGCCTCGAGCCGGCGACGCTTCTCGAGACGCTGGACAAACGAGCCCTCTGGATCCTCGCCGCCGTCTTCCGCACCGTTCGTGAGATAGTATCATAAATTATGAGTATGGAATAGTAATCTGGTATCATAAATAATGGTACGGTCTAGGCCACCGCTCATAAATTATGCAATAATATTTATAACAATTACTTGAGCGTCAATTTATTTTTCGGCTGCCCTGCCGGCAATAGTTAGCCTGTCGTTTACTAGAGGTGAAAGACGATCGGTCTTAGCCGCTTTTGACGTGGGCGCCTTTTTCGCGTGGGAGTCTACTACAGGAACCTTTGATCGTTTAGCTTTTCACGAGGCTTTCAGAACAAAAAATGCTCCGTACATTAATCCATGGCCGCTCCCGAGGTACTTGCAAGCAGTGGTTCGATGCTGTGACTCGCTATAGTTTTCATTTTGTTTTTCAGGTCCATTGTTATCCTAGATAACGCAAAAATCCACATGTACCGCGAGCAGGGCTGCCGAATATGGTATTTTCATTTATTAGCGCAGATAGAGCCTCATAAATAATGCCAGGATCTTGTCATTTGTATCTGCATAAATTATGTAATGTATTCGAGCAATAAATAAATAATGTGGTGCAACTTCAACGGGTATTAGACGTACTGTTACTCACACTAATTGACGCTATCGACTGTCGAAACGTCCCAGAAGTCACCATTCTCACGCAGAAACAAAATTGTTTCCAGCGTAGCGGACTGGAGACTGTTGCGCTCTTGAGCAAACGTGGTACGCGCCACGCTGAAAACCGCTCGACCTTGTTCGAGGTCGGCGGGATGCTGGAGATGAGGTCGTAGCGGGGCGTTCGCGCCTCGAGCCGGCGACGCTTCTCGAGACGCTGGACAAACGAGCCCTCTGGATCCTCGCCGCCGTCTTCCGCACCGTTCGTGAGATAGTATCATAAATTATGAGTGTGGAATAGTAATCTGGTATCATAAATAATGGTACGGTCTAAGCCACCGCTC